AAGATTATTTTGAGTTTGAGTTTGAGTTCTTTTTCATCAATAATTCTCTTTATTTCAAGGTTTGAAGGCAGTGTTTTAAATAATCAACTAAAACATTTACACTAATGTGTACCTAAAATAAGTAAGTCGGGACGATTTTAAACTTTAGTCGAATTTCAGGGTCGTATTCCAGAACTGTACTCAACGCTCAAGTCAGGATTTGAGCATGATTTAAAGCACTGGAAATACGACCCTAATGGCAAGGACTTGAGTATGATTTCTAGTGCTTTGAATCATATTCAAGTCCTGACTTGAGCTTTGAGTAGAGTCCTAGAATACGACTATTAGGGTCGTATTCCAGAACTCTACACAAAACTCAAGTCAGGACTTGAGTATTGCAGTGAGCACTGAAAATCATACTGAAGTCCTTGCCATTAGGGTCGTATTTCTAGTGCTTGAAATCATACTCAAGTCTTCTTAAGTCAGAATTGCACTGGAAATACGACCCTAATGGCAGGGACTTGAGTATGATTTCGAGTGCTTTAAACCATACTCAAATCCTGACTTGAGCATTAAGTAGAGTTCTAGAATACGACCCTTATGCTCGTTTTAGAACTCTACTCAATGCTCAAGTCAGGATTTGAGCAGACTTGAGTATGATTTCAAGCACTGGAAATACGACCCTAATGGCAAGGCCTTGAGTATGATTTTCAGTTCTCACTGCAATACTCAAGTCCTGACTTGAGTATTGAGTAGAGTTTTGGAATACGACCCTTAGGGTCGTATTCTAGAATTCTACTCAATGGTCAATTCATGATTTGAGTATGGTTTAAAGCACTCGAAATCATAGTCAAGTCCCTGCCATTAGGGTCGTATTTCCAGTGCTTGTGTTGCCAGTGCAATCCTGACTTGAGCATTGAATAGAGTTCTAGAATACGACCCTAAGGGTCTAGTGGCAGGGACTTGAGTATGATTTCGAGTGCTTTGAATCATACTCAAGTCCTGACTTGAGCATTGAGTAGAGTTCTAGAATACGACCCGTAGACTGTGTCCGTAGCGTTTAAAATTAATTTAAATCCGTTTTATATTTTGGATCTTAAGCCATACAGTCGCATAGATTATTTTATTTTATTTAGTTCTTGTAGTGATCTATAATTATTTGTAAACAAAAAAAAGTCTAAATCCCGATTTTTAAGTTATCTTGGTTTCAATCGAGGGACTGTAGTGTATGCACATAATGTGCCATAAACATTAGACAATATAAATTACACTGCGGCTCGCCGTTCCGACATTACGACACTGGGCAGTGGTGTGAGTGATGTGATCGCACGTGTATGTGAAGTAAAGACATGTTGTTTCATTGAGCTATCCCTGTACTAAGTAGCGTAAACGCCACAGGGACCTGAGGTACAAATAGGGGATTTCGCTAGTGTTGATTAAACTAATTATAAAATAGAATGTAAAAACAAAAGTTTAAATATATTGTCGGCTTAATTCCAAAACTAACTAAATGACACAAAATCGATTTAGAGAAATAAATTGTTAAAGTTTTACAATGTAAAGTCTCATAATTTCAGTATTTTATCTAAAACAAAAGAAATAAAAAAACAGTAGTGTAATAGTAGACTGTACAACAACTGCATAAAACGCATCATTTTACCCGAGACGAGTATATCCTACTACTATGGATACTTAAGTCGAGGTATAATGGGTTTTATGAACGAGTTATAATGTAATACACGTCCAATTTCGTGTCTGATGGTCGGATCCGACTATCGAATCGGATTCACCCAATACACGTCCGATTCTTATGTCAGACTTTTTCTGAACTGCTGTGTTGCCAATTTATGGGGAATTCCCCAAACACAGGGAATTTCGACTTAACAACTCGTTTGGGGATTTTGTTTGGATTACGCTATAATAATAATAATAATAATAATAACGCACACACTCAACATAGCCCCGCACTAGGGAAACCCTGTGTCGCGGGTGCCATGGACACACACATAGACAACCACAAATTACACCCAAACTCACGAGAGAAATAAATGTAGGCCATACAAATATTTCTCCCGGCCCGGGAATCGAACCCGGGGACCTCTGCGTGGCAGTCCGGTATGGTAACCGTTCGGCCACGGAGGCAGTTATGCTATGTGGGGAAAATGCCCTCGCATTCTAGAATTTTATCATATTTTTGTTACATTGATGAACACTGATAAAAACACTGTTTATTTGTTTGTTTATGAACGATATTGATATTTTTTCAACATCGCACATGCGCTGCTTATATGTATAGCAAAATTTATATATAATTATTACCAAACCGCTTATATGTATAAAATTATCCAGTAAGATTAGAATCACTTTGTCACTTTGAATTGTCAATTTACTACTATTATCAGTCACCGACAAGAGCTGGCTCTTAAATAGGATGATGATGAACAGTCGATGCGTATTGAACGCGCGACCCTTCCTCGTTTTGACCGGTCCCCGGTGTGAAAAAAGAATACAGCTGTTGCCGAATAAAGCCAAGCAGTAAGTATTTTAAAGGACTATCCACACACATCTGGGCAGTGCCCGGGACGTGGACGGGACGTGCTAGTTTGCATGAGCTGCGGGCTCGTCCCGGCGCCGGCCTGGACACGGACGAATGTGAACGAGTTCATACAAAATAAACGCAACGATATTTTTTTGAGCCCCTGACGGAGCACGGCCCGTCCACGTCCCGGAGACGGCCCGGATATGTATGGATAGACCTTAATACCACAACTTGCCACTCGTCAAGCTTAAATATTAAGGTTTAAACTTAATTCAACTTGATGAATTTATTTCTAATTATAGCATAACGTATACGTAATGAATGGGCGCATTTTGACTTTCTTAATTGTTTGATATATTTTTAAGCGCAACAATAATAATATAATAAATACTGGGAATCATTGAGAATGAAGAAATATTATTACATGTGAAAAAATAGACGTGTATTGTCACTCATACACTCTGCTTTTCACTTCGATTGCGAGGAAATTAAACAGCAATATTACAAATAAACGATTATTTAATTAAAATTGAATGTAAAATTACAACAATTACACATATTTAATGTGATGCTTTTTTTATGCACTAGAGCATAAAATCCTATTTTATGCAGCCTACACCCAGCTTAAATACGAACTACGAGTATAAGAGCATGAGAAGTGGAAAATACGTTTTTATTGGACTATTTGAGTAAAATTGACACTGAGTTAGTGAAATGTTTCTTTTTCAAAATTCCAAAGACAAATTATCCACTTTTCGCCGCAATAAGTAAATATTATAATAAAACTAGGTTAAGACTTTTAAACAGGAAATATTAACATATCAAATTCGATAGCGCGGCAATACCACTACCACCTTCTTTATCTCGTTTACCTACTTATTGAGAACTTTGCTTCCTTCTCTATTCGACAGTCAGGCTTACTTAAACTAAATAGTTAAGTTGGAAAGCTAGTAAATACTTAATTATTAGTTGATTTCCTCATAATTGAATTTTTTTCAAAATTCACTAACATCACTTAGCTGATTTTGTTGATATTCTAAATGTACCTTCGCCAATACAATAGTTTTCTGAATATGTTATAAAATACGCTTAAAACAATTAATAAA